TGGAATAAGCCTGAAACACCACACATGCAAGATCAAGGCTGGTCATGGACACTGTGAAACGGGCAGGGCACCTGGATCCTGGGCAGAGCTTGGCTGGGCTGTGCACTGCAGCAGCTTCTGTAGGACATGCGGGAGGCAGTGAGGCTCTGTGTCCAGGAGATCTGCCAGCAGGCTCTCTCCCTCGGTCAGGCTGGAGGAACGGCCCCTCAAGGTCAGGAGCTATGGAGCAAAAAGAACCGGGCACATTCTAACATACTCCACCTCTGAAGCTGTAGGAATATTTGTTCAGATTTGCTCATGAGCTTGACTTAATTACTGGCACACAAAAACTGAAATTTGCATGATTACATTCCTGGAATGTTTGCCACCAGATTAATTTGACACCCTCTTTTTCCAAATAAGTGAATATTAGGATGTTTTAAAAGGTTAGATGTATCTTTGGGGATGCTCTATAACAAAAAACACAACAACAAGCTGTTGGACTCTATGTTCAATTAATTCACCGGGCTTGCAATTTTTCAGGCCCTGAAATGTCACTAATAGACCTTTGCAGAAGGAAGAAAAATGCTCTTTCTTGGGAATGTGATACTGAATAATCCCCCCCATCAGTGATCATCAATTAACCAACTAGGTTAAGAGATCAGCTGCCATGAATACTGACAGATAGTGCTCCTCCTGGACCAGGGCTGTGTAGTGGTACAGACCTCCGAACGACAGGAGCTGGCAAATGTTAAAAAGACTGCGGTATCTGGCAAAAGCTACTGCAGAATACATGGGCCGCAGGCAGCCATGTCCGAGGGCTGATAAAAGCTGAAACAGCTGAGCACTGGAGGAAGGAGGAGTTGGGAGAGAAGCTGGCAACAGCTCTGTTTTTGCACAAACACCGCAGGTAGGACATGCAGAATACAATATATTTTGGCTGCATGGAAACCACTGAGAGTGAACAGACTTCAGTCTCACTGCAGAATCCTCAGTGCGTGCAGGGAGTTCTTCCAGACAGCTGCTATCAGCAGGACGTCTTTTCCACGAGTACATAATGCAAAACAGCATTTCATGGTTATACTTGTTCACAACAAGTGGTAACTTGTATGTAATGCCTCTTGGGTATTTTGCAGATCAGACATGCTTCTAAACTAAAGAGATACGCTGCCCCCTGCTGCACTGTTTTGAAGGAGCAACTAAATTGCAGCAGACATATGATCTCCTGAATTCTACAGAAACGTGTATTAACCCATTATTAAACAAGGCTGTAATGAACGGGAGTCCTGTTAAGGGTGCGATCCCATAATCCTGTATTCTTCCATGTGCTTCTAGGATGGACTCTGGATTTCTCCAGCCCTGCCCAGGAATCAGCAGCTTTCTGATGGACAGATGTGATTCAAACCAGGGAATTGTAGAATCTGACATACTGTATTAACAGTGGAAGACAGCTCCCAAGACCTAAGATTAATCCCAAAATAAATCTGCAGAAATATGACTATTAATGAAATAATATATATTTCACATTAGCTCCAAAACAGCAAATAAATGGTCTTTTACATCACAAAAATATAACAATTAACATGAGTCTTTCTCATAAAATACTTTGGATGACTTTGTATTAAGCATTTTTAAATCGAGAATTTGCATTTTTACAGAAAATGAAATGTACCTTATCGATCTTGGTCCAAGATAATCCACTTTCAAGCCTTTTGAGATATTCCCACAATAACTTCTCTACAGCAGCTACGAACAGCTCGCCGTACTCATCTTCCAGCTCTTCCTAAAACAAAGAGGTGACGTTCTCGGAATTCAAACATTTCCCCTGCGTACAAAACAAATGTTTCTACATACATACACATTTCATCCACCCTTTTTTAATCTGCTTTCTCCAGTACAGGGTCGTGGGGGGGAACTGGTGCCTTTCCCAGCAAGCAACAGGTGCAAGGGCACACGCAGACAATCACACAGTTACTCAATCAATTTGTCTTGGAATTGTGGCCGGAAACTGAAGCACCTGGAAAAAACCCACACAAAAACGGAGGGAACATACACACTCCACGCAGAAAGCACCCCAGGAATCGAACCCAGGGCTCCAGAGATGCAAGACAGCTATGTCGAACACTGTGCCCCCATGGTGCCCAAAAGCAGTTTTTTATCAAAGGAGATCTCACAGTCCGTGGAGTTACATGTGGCCTGGTTACACCCTGCTTACCTCAATGTACCTCCTGCGATAGCCTTCGTTGTGAATCATTCTCAGAACCAGCCTACGAAAGTGATGGTAGCACTGCTCTATTTTCTGAATATCTCTTCTTGTCTGGGAAGAAATAAAAAATAATAAAAGGACTTTGCCGTACTTACTACACTTGTGTACAACTCTGAACTGGGAAATGGAAAGTGCACAGAGATAGAAGAGTAAAGGGGAAACTTGAACCTGGGGATTACTGAAATAACATCCCTCGTTTAGGATTTGCATTAGGTTCAATGTTATTATTATCAGATCAGTTGGAGTTAATGTAGTGATTTGGTATTAACTGTACCCACAATACTGTTCTAAAAAGTGCAGATAAGACTACATTTGCATTAAAACTGGCATAATAATACTGGAAAAATACTGTTACTTTACTTCTGATTTAAGGGGCAAGCTAACCCTTCCCTGACACTCACTGAAACAAAAAACTTCCTAGTTCTGGGTTTGCT